TTAAAAAAGAAAAAAAAGAAAGTGGGGAGTTTTTAAAAATATACATGTTTTTATTGATTTTAGAAAGAGAGGAGGGGAGAGCCAGAGAGAGATAAACAGATCGGCTGCCTTCATGTGCCCTGACCGAGAATAGAACCCGCGACCTCTTGGTGCCTGGGACAAAGGTCAACCAACGGAGCCACACCAGCCAGGGTGGGTTTTGTTGTTGTTGTTAATCCTCACCTGAGGATACTTTTTCCATTGATTTTTAAAGAGAGTAGAAGGGAGGGAGAGAAAGAGAGAGAGAGAAACATCGGTGTGAGAGACACATCGATTGCTCGTCTCCCCGCGTGTGCCCCAACCAGGGCCGGGGATCAAACCTGCAACCCAAGTACGTGCCCTTGACCAGTAATTGAACCGTCGACCCTTCAGTGCATGGACCAACGCTCCAACCACTGAGCCACACCGGCCAGGGTGAAAGTGGGGTTTTAAACAGGCGAGTGATCCACTCAAATTTACTTGTTTATTGTTTTACTTTAAAATCAGCTATAATTATGGACAGTAAAATTTACCCTTTTCTCTGTGAAGTTCTATCCAGCTTAATGAAGGCATCAGTGGTGTAGCTACTATCGCAGACAAGATCTAGAATAGTTCAATCACATCCAAAAACTCCCGGGTGCTGCCCCTTCCTGGCCAGGCCCTCCCCACCCCGAGGCAAACATCCGCCTCCTCTCTGTGGTTATGAGTTTGCCGTTTCCAGAATGTCATCTGGATGAGTCAGGTAGAGTGCAGCCCTGCGAACCGCCTCTTTCCTTAGAACCACGCACTTGAGAGGGGTCCCCGTTGCGTGTCTCGGTGGCTGGTTCCCTCCTCATTGCCGAGTGGAGTTCCACCGTAGAGATGAATCAGGCTGTACAGAGGCATCCGCTTGTTTCTCTGACACTCGCCAGTGGAAAGATTAAAATTCGCTTTAAAAAGCAAAGGTCACTGCACCGAGTCTGCCTGGAATGGGGGCCCTGCCTCCTGCCGTTCGTTCCAGGCCTTGGCCTGGCTGCACTGATGCCCACAGGGGAGATGGGGACTGCGTCTTTGTCCCTTGCATTGACTTTGCTCCCGGCACCCCGCCAGGGCACCGCTGGCTGTGAGAGAGGAGTGGAGGCCACTTGGCACAGCTGTGGGAGAGGATGTGGGGCAGGAGGCCTCGGTTCGATGACAGGACGGTGGCTGAGGGCAGGGGTGAGGGGTGAAGAGCAGCCTCTTGGCTTTGGGGAAGAAGAGCATACCTCTGAGAGTAGAGCGAGCCAGAGTGCATGGCGTTACTTCAACTTGGAGCAAAAGTGCGGCAACAAAACCCAACCCGACCCAACCCAACCCAACCCAACTCCCTCACAGGCTGCCCAGTTGGCGGGAGCTCTGAGGTTGGGAGCTCAGAGATCTCTGGGAGGCCAGTCCTCCGGGCTTCCTGAGGCTGCAGATCTTCTCTTGGCCGACAGGTGGGGATGATGCCCCACGCCTGAGCCTCCTCTGCTGTCACCCCATTCATTCAACAGGCGGGAGGGCGCCTTAGCCCACACTCACAGCAGGAAGGACCTCAGAGACCAACCGCTGTGTCCACAGCTGTCATTTTACAGGCAAAGGACTCAGCCACACTCCCGAAGCTGTGTCCCACGGAGAGGGGCTCAAGCCCAGTGTCCCTGTGGACAGCCTCCTTGCACAGCTCCCGTCTCTAGATAGGTGACAGTTTATTGAAACATCAGGTGTGTGTGTGTGGGGGGGGGCTAGGGGCCGAGTCAGAGGGCCAGCGCCACGACCGCCACGCCTGGCTGGCCTGACTCTGCTGTGCTTTGTGTGGCCCTCGGCCAACTCGCCTTTCCGCTCTGTCCCATCTGCACCCAGAAAAAGCTGAGCTTCCAGCTTCAAAGCCCTGTGCCGTGGAGACGCCCGGCTGAAGGACACCCAGCTCGTCTTTCACTGGGGGCTCCCAGGCGGACTGGAAGGCAGCCGGTGACGGAGATGCTGTTTGCTCCGCTCCTGGCTGGTCCATAGCTGCTGAGCCAGCACTAAGTCTGCCAGAGAAGATACAGGACATGGTTCAAATCTGCATTTCAGATAACCGACAGATAGATTTTTATATTTTTAACCTACAGATTTCAGAGAGAGAGAGAGAGAGAGAGAGAGAGAGAGAGAGACACATCGATCTACTGCTCCGCCCACTTATGCAGCCTTTGGCTGACTCTGACATGTGCCCTGACCAGGGACTGAACCGAAAGCTTGGCTCCCTGGGACAATGTTCTAACCAACTGAGCTACCCGGCCAGGGCACCAGCAGAGACTTTAAAGTAAACGTATGTTCTAAATATCACCTAGGATATATTTATACTAAAACATCCTTGATGTTGGTCAGAAATTTAAATGTAACTAGGTGGTGTGTGTTTTTATTTGCTCAATCTGGCAACGCTGACCAGTCCACAGGGGCCTCCCAGCACCCCAGCCCCTCTCCCGGGACCCCCAGAGCTTCATCCTGGTTGGCTAGTGCCCGATTCTGCTGGTTGTTAAATGGAATTGACCCTTGAGCAACACGGGTTTGAACTGCACAGGCTCCCTTACCTGCAATTTTTCCCCGATAAACACTTGTACTGTTTGGAGCCGTGGTTGGATGCATTGATCTGCAGTGTTTTATACGGTGACTTGAGCGTCCGTGAAGGTTGGTATCAGTGGGAGGGGAGGGTCCCGGAAGCAATCCCCCATCGATACGGAGGGGTAACTGGCGTTTTGGGGGAGTCAAAGGCTGTATGGGAGCCCTCAAAGTGTGGTTCCGTCATCCTGTGCACCATAAGGTTGCTGGTTCAATTCCTGGTCAGGACACATGCCTGGGATTCAGCCTTGATTCCTGGGTAGGGGGCGTGCAGGATGCAGTCCATCCATGTTCTGCTCTCACATCCATGTTTCTCTTCCACTATCTCTAAAAATCAATAAAAATATTATTTATTTATTTTCAAAGGTCTTTTTTAAATTGATTTTGGAGAGGAAGGGAGAGGGAGAAAGAGTTAGAAACGTCAATAATGAGAGAGGATCATTCATTGGCTGCCTCCTGCAACCCGGGCATGGGCCCTGACGGGGAATCAAACCATGACCTCCTGAATCATGGGTCAATGCTCAATCACTGAGCCACGCCAGCTGGGCAATTAAAATATTGTTTAAAAAGCTATTCAGGGATTTTCAGTTGCTCGGGGGGGTGCTGTCCCGAACCCCTGCATTGCTCAAGAGTCAGCTGTGTTTTGATGGTCACCGCTGGCCGCAGGAGAGGCAGCCGGACCACAGCGCGTTCTCTCTCCCCGCAGGCCTGGCGCTCCTGTTGCCCCCGGCCACGCTGGCCTCCC